GTGCATGTGTGTGTGTGTATATATATATATATATATATATATATATTTATTATTATATACTGTTACATTAGAACATGTAAGTTACTATTACAAAATTGTACATTTTGTTTCAATGTTTAATAAACAACATCTTATCAAGTAATTAAGAATCATTGTTAACTACCTGATGAGTCGTTGGTTATTAAACATCGAAACAAAATTTACAATTTTGTAGTAATATCTGATATGTTCTAATGTAACAGTTTATAATAAATATTTGTTGCTCTACTCTTGTATTGAGCCCTGTTTTAAACTGATGTTTTGAATGTTGGAATTTTATTTTTCATTATTTTACATTTGGATATATATATATATATATATATATATATATATATATATATATATATATATATATTTTCAAGCAACTTAAGGATTATTAAATCCAACATTTTTTTCTTATTACTGTAAACATTATATTTCGTGGGTCCACGTGTTTTAGCAGACATCCTTGATATGTTTTAAACAGTGAAATTAATGTCTACTCGCCTAGCGATTAAAAGTCTTACTAAAAACGTGGGGGGGGCTCTTGAATGGCATTTAACCACTTTCCTAGATTAAAGAGGGAACACACATTCAGTTTGTGTGATGAAGCACAATTTCTTAATAAGACTTTCAATCTCTAGGCCAACAGATATTAATATATTTCATTCAAACACACATATCTTCTAAATATAATATTTGCAGTAATTATGTATCCATATATATATATATATATATATATATAATGCATAAAAGGTTAATGGTCAGAGGTGAATCAGAACAGAAAACAGTGGTATTAAAAAGTGCTCAATACATATGTGAAAAAACAAAAGTAAAAATAACATGTAGAGCTTTTAGCTTTAAAATTCAGGAGGTCAGTTGAACCTGCTACCTTATGGCCTCCTCAGGCGATTTTTATCATATGACCTTTTAATGCTTTATTATTTTAAAAAAAACTAATGAATGCTATATTATTTTTTAAAAATAAATAAACGCATAACATTGGTTGTAATTGAAAGGGAGGAGGAGGATGTGAAGAAGGAAGGGGAAGAAAGGGGGAGAGAAGAAAAGCGAGGGTATTATAAATGTATCATTGGGGGGGGGGTTAATTGAAATGTACATTATTTTTTTTTATCCAGCCTCATATGTGCTTAAGAGAAATTTCTTAATATGTAATCAAGGACTCAAAATTTTGGATTTCTGGTTCAAAAGGTTCTTTGGATCTGGACCCCCCCCCCAATATAATATAGCGTTCATTAGTTTAAAAAAAAAAATTAAAGCATTAAGAAGTCATATGATAAAAATTGCCTGAAGATACCTTAAGGTTGAAACCAGGGTAGTGGATTCAACTAATCTCATGATTTTTAAAAGTATATATATATATATATATATATATATATATATATATATATATATATAGGTATAAGCATTAAGAAGTCATATGATAAAAATCGCCTGAAGAGACCTTAAGGTTGAAACCAAGGTAGTAGATTCAACTAATCTCATGATTTTTAAAAAATATATATATATATATATATATATATATAGTATATTTGGGCAGCAGTTTTTTTTCATTTATAGAAGGTTTGGTTGAAGACCAATGAAAGATCTTTGCTAAGGGTTCTTTTATTAATTTTCTTTATATTTTGGACCTTTTTCCTGGTTTTTGGTAACACCCAAAACACAATAGATACATAGTCACAATATTATAAACAGAATGACTTTTTTGGTAATGGCTTATAAAAGCCAAAAGTACACAGATCTGAGACAATATAAACCAAACTTTTCACTGGAAACCAGAAAATGGTCTAAAATATTTAAAAACCCAAAAAATAAAATAAAATAAAATCTAAACAAAGAACTCATGTTGGTCTTTAAACAAAATTTTATATATACAAGTTGTGTCAGAAAAGAAACGTCTGAAGTTGCAAAAAATTCTTGTCAAATCCAAGCTACGAGTTTTTCCCCCTTTGAAATTATTCTCCAAGTGTAAAGCACTTTCAAATTCTTCTCTGCCACACCTTCATGCACTCCTGGAAGGATTCTCTCAGAATTCTCTGTAGCTCCATCATCATGGCTCTTTTTAATGGCCTCCATGTATGGAACATGTGGCCCCTTGAGGAACCCCTTTCAGCTTGAGAAAAGGAAAAAAAAAATCACATAGAGCCAGGTTGGTTGAGTATTAAATTTGCACCAGGATGGCGATGTTCTCCAAGGGACCTGTTTTTCAGTTGTAGAAGCCATCAAGAGGGCCATGATGACAGAACTGCAGAGAATCCTGGGATTATCCTTCCAGAAGTGCATGGGGACATGGCAGAGAAGGATACAAAAGTGTGTTAGATTCAAGGGAGGTAATTTTAAAGGAAGCAAATTTGTAATTTGGATTTGACATAAATCTTTTTATAATTTTATTCCTGTTTCTTTGCTGACACACCTTATACACACATACACACACTTTATATATATATATATATATATATATATATATATATATATATATATATATATATATATATAATGTACCTACATAGACCTGTAGGCATGAAATGACAAATATTCACTGACATATATGTTCATTATTAATATTAGTATGTATTATATCACATTAGACGTGCATATGTATACTAGTGTGTTTATTACACATATATACATATATACATATCATATATCATGAATATATGTTACTCACTTATTTGTTATTTGTATACATTTAAGACCTTTTAATTGAAGGCCCCTTTTTCATTGTTGGTAAGCAAAACACTTTTGTTTTTGATCAGGTATTAAAAAAATTATATTTAAAAAAAACCCCAAAAAACCTGGATTATTACCAGAAACATGAATAAGTCAAAATGAACTTTGTTGGCATGGGTGAAAAAAAAAAAAAAAAAAAAATATTTTTTGTTGGATTTCTCCATTTTATAGCTACAGGGTCTCAGGGAAGTAATCCATGTTAATTTGAAAATTTCATGTGCAAGTTATGGATTCCAAGTTGAACAACACTTCTTTCTGCTGTATAGAAATTTAGGAGATAAATTTGAATCTTTGGCCAACTTTGGATACAATCATTCCAAAATATGGTACCTCTCAAACATTAGTTATGACCTGGGCAATGCCAGGTGACCATAACTTTGCAAATGTGTAATTCATTTCACTCGGATTTTATCAAAGATTCCTTGTAAAAATGAGGCAAAAAAAAGGATTAAAGAACTGGTCTGATTGAAATGTCAGGAAGATTAGACGGAAGATGTAAAGGAAAAAGAAAAAATCTTCAGAGAGAACAATTAAAGTGGGGGTGGGGGGAGTAAAAGAGAAAGAAAGAAAGAAAGAAAGAAAGAAAGAAAGAAAGAAAGAAAGAAAGACAGAAAGAAATAAAGAAAATATAGAGGATAAGAGAAAGAGAAATGAGGGGAGTCAAGAAGAAAAAGACAAAACTTGAAAAGAGAAGAGAGTGAGAGAGAAAACTAGTAAAGATTGATTTGGGTTTTTTATTTAAAGCCAGAAAATATTATTTTTAGATTATAAGAATGTTTTGAATATAATAAAGATTTACTGATACAAGTCCTAATAATTAACCCATAGCTGGGGGCAGAAGAGGTGGATTAATACACTTCCCATTTTTATTTGCATGTAAATAAATATAACGAATCCAATTGGAATTGGAACTTGGCACTCCAATTTCTAATTTTGAGCCGTTATCCATTACACCATCTGCACATCCAAGCTTACAGCATCTGGTTTTCCCAAAACTGAGAGTGAAGAAGAAGAAGAGAGGAATTGAGAAAAGAGAATTAAGAGGAAAGAGAAAGCTAAAGGAGAGATAGAGGGGGAGTGAGAGAGAGAGATGGACAAATTAAGAGAGGATGAAGAAGAGAGATAGAAAAAGCTAAGGAGAATAAGGAACAGAGAGGAAACTAGAGAATATGAAGGAGAGAGAGAAAGAGGAAATAAAAGAAGGCAAAAAGAGAGAGAGGTAAAGTAGATGAAGAAGAGAGAGAGGGAAACAAAAAAGAGGGAGATGATGAAGAGAGAAGAAAGATGAAAAGAGGGAGAAGAGAGAGAGAGAGAGAGAGAGGAGAAGATGAAGAAAAGGGAAAAGACAGATGAAGAGAGAAGAGGAAAAGGGAGAAGAGAGAGAAAGAGAAAAGGAGAAGATGAAGAAAAGAGGAAAAAAGAAAAGAGAGAAAGAGAAAAAGAGAGAGAGAGAGAAAGAATGAAAAGGGAGAAGATGAAGAGAGAGAGGAAAAGAAGAAAAGGAGAAAGATGAAGAAAGAGAGAGATGATGAGAAAGAGAAGATGGTGAAAGAAGAAAAGAGGAGAAAAATTAAGAGAGAGAGAGGAAAGAAGAAAAGGGGAGAAGATGAAGAGAAAGAGGAAAAAGAAAAGACAGAAAGAGAAAGAGGGAGATGATGAAGAGAGAAGAAAGATGAAAAGAGGGAGAAAATTAAGAGAGAGAGAGAGGAAAGAAGAAAAGGGGAGAAGATGAAGAGAAAGAGGAAAAAGAAAAGACAGAAAGAGAAAAAGGGAGATGATGAAGAGAGAAGAAAGATGAAAAGAGGGAGAAGATTAAGAGAGAGAGAGGAAAGAAGAAAAGGAGAAGATGAAGAGAAAGAAAAAAAAGAAAGAAAGAGAGAAAAGAAAAGAGAAAGAAAGATGAAAAGAGGGAGAAAAAAAAGAAGAGAGAAAAGAAGAAAAGGGAGAAGATGAAGAGAGAGAGAAAAAGAAAAGACAGAAAAGAAAAGAGGAGATGATGAAGAGAAAAAAAGAAAAAAGAGGGAAAGAAAGAGAAAAAGAAAAGGGAAGATGAAGAAAAGAGAGAAAAGAAAAGAGAGAGAAAAAAAGAAGAAAAGAAGAGAGAAGAAAGATGAAAAGAGGGAGAAGAAAGAGAGAGAGAGAGGAAAAAGAAAAGGAAAAAAAGAGATGAAAAAGAAAAGAGAGAAAAAAAAGGGGAGATGATGAAAAGAAAGATGAAAAGAGAGAGAAAATTAAGAGAGAGAGAGAGAGAGAAAAAGAAAAAAGAGAAGATGAAGAAAAGAGAAAAAGGAAAGAAAAGAAAAAGGGAAAAGATGAAGAGAAGAAAGATGAAAAAGGGAGAAGATTAAGAGAGAGGGAGAGAAAGAAGAAAAAAAGATGAAGAAAAGAGGAAAAAGAAAAGAGAGAAAGAGAAAAGAGATGATGAAGAGAGAAGAAAAAGATGAAAAGAGAGAGAAGAAGAAGAGAGAGAGAGAGGAAAGAAGAAAAGGGGAGAAGATGAAGAGAGAGAGGAAAAAGAAAAGACAGAAAGAGAAAGAGGAAGATGGTGAAGAAAGAAGAAAGATGAAAAGAGGGAGAAGATTAAGAGAGAGAGAGAGAGGAAAGAAGAAAAGGGGAGAAGATGAAGAGAAAGAGGAAAAAGAAAAGACAGAAAGAGAAAGAGGGAGATGATGAAGAGAGAAGAAAGATGAAAAGAGGGAAAAGATTAAGAGAGAGAGAGAAAGAGAAGAAAAAAGAAAAGTGTGAAAATATGAAGAGAGAGAGAGGGGGAAACAAAAGAGGGAGATGAAGAGAAAGAAAGGAAGGAAAGAAGAAAAAAGAAGAAGATGAAGAGAAAGAGAAAAAAAGGAAAGATAGAAAAGGAGAGTAAGGCAGTAAAAAGAAAGTGAAAGATGTTTTTTTTTAAGAGAGTAAAAGTAGGGAACAAAAACTCGAATGCTGGGTTGGGGTTAGAGAGTGAAGGAAGGGGTTGTGGAAAACCTAGAAAAGGTAGTCGAGGAGGGGGATCCAAGAGAATGTTTGAAAATTAGAAGAAAGTTCCGAAAATATGATGTGGAGGGTAAAAGAAAGATTTTTAGTTTGTTCCTGTTACATGTCAACTCCACCCCCATGGGTTATTAAACATCAAAATCTGTATGGGGCACCCGGTGAGGATCAAACTCACTACTCAGTAGTAATGGTCAACCAGGCTTTGTTAACTGTTGTTAACTCTATGCTGAGGCACTTGGAAAAGAGAGTTGAGTATGAAAGATAATATGAGAGTGAGACACAGAGAGAGAGAGAGAGAGAGACAGAGATAGAGAGAGACAGAGCAAGTGATGATAGAGGGAAAGAGAAAAAGAGAGAGAGAGAGGAAAGAGGGGGAAAGAGAAGAAAAAGAGAAAAGGAGAGAGAAGAGAAAGAGAAGAAAAAGAGAAAAGGAGAGAGAAGAGAAAGAGAGAGAGAGACAGAGCAAGTGAGGATAGAGGGAAAGAGAAAAAGAGAGAGAGAGAGAGGAAAGAGGGGGAAAGAGAATGAGAGAAGAAAAAGAAAAAGAGAGAGGGAAGAGAAAAGGAGAGAGAAGAGAAAGAGAGAGGGAGAGAGAGACAGCAAGAGAGGAGAGAGGGAAAGAGAAAAAGAGAGAGATTTTCTTTTGGAAAGAGAATGAGAGAAGAAAAAAAAAGAGAGAGGGAAGAGAAAAGGAAAGAGAAGAGAAAGAGAGAAGGAGAGAGAGAGACAGACAGAGACAGAGGGAGACAGCAAGAGAGAATAGAGGGAAAAAGAAAAAGAGAGAGAGAGAGGGGGGAAAGAGGTGAAAGAGAAAGCAAGAGAGGATAGAGGGAAAGAGAAAAAGAGAGAGAGAGGAAAGAGGGGGGAAAGAGAATGAGAGGAGAAAAAGAAAAAGAGAGAGGGAAGAGGAAAGGAGAGAGAAGAGAAAGAGAGAGGAAAAAGAGAGAGAGGGGAAAGAGAGAGAGAGGGAATGGGGGAGAGAAAAAATAGAGAAAAAGTACAAGAATAAAAGATAAAATAAAGACCAGTCTTTTTTAAAACCAATAAGTTTTCTCCTGAAAAAGTGCTCATAATGCTTTTTTGGCAATAATAATAATAATAATGGTGATGGTGGTCATAATGGGAGTAGTAGTAGTAGTAGTAGTAATAATAATAATAATAATAATAATAATGGTGATGGTGGTCATAATGGGAGTAGTAGTAGTATTAGTAGTAGTAGTAGTAGTAATAATAATAATAATAATAATAATAGTGTTGGTGATTGTTAATGATAATGCTGGGGGTAGCAATAATGATATTGATGCCAGTAGTAGTAGTAATAGTGATTGGCTTGTGTCAAGGTGGTTAAACCTCTCCCCCATAATTACCCTACCTACCAGGGCAGGTAAACTATTTATATTTATCTACCTCCCCACAGAGTGCAGAATGTGACACAGGGTCAGTTTAACATGGCGGCCCATTTGCATATATGTAAACTAGGACAAAAATTGTCCTAACCCTTTTACCAGTGTCATGCAGGCATTAAAATACTTCAATTTCCATTTTTGTTTTTTTGTTTTTTTTGTTTTTGTGCAGTGGGCAAGGTGCTTCTGTAAGGTCATGCCATACTCCACTTAGGGATAAGAATATGGTACTGCATCCTGCCCTGAGACAAGAACACAGCCGAGAAAGCTACTACACTTTGATCTCAGCCCAAGGAGTATTACTCTGAACCTTACTCAGCCAACAATTACAACATCTGGAGATGGTAATTAGTAAGGGTAGATGGATTCATGCCTTTCAAGAATTTGCTCATGGTTTACAAATTCCATCATTAGTATACCACTGGTGTAATGATAATAATAAGAAGAAAATGAAAATATTACCGACAACACTATACAAGTCAATGGACCAGATATAATAAAAGAGTTAAAAAAAATCAACAGTGCTATCTTATAGACATGGCCATCTCGTAGATAGACGTCTCAGCAAAAGAATTTGACAAACTTTCAAAACATAAGAACAGAAACAGAAATTGCAAGAATTTGACTTTTTAAACATAGTTACCATTCCAATAATAGTAGGTGCACGAGGAATGACTTAAGGAAATTCCAGAAAACTCATCATGCTTTGGGATATAAAAGATTGGTCCAACATGGATAAATGTACCAGCAAAAGGATCTTTTTTTTTTCCCATGATACTTCATTTTTAACTACCTTCACTCTTTGGCAATGTTTATTGCTTTAAAAAAGTGGCAAAATGGGAAAAATGCCCTTTTAGCAGTCTGTTTTATTATAGGCATGTTTATCTATGTTTGCCAACGATTGTACTCATGAGAACTGCTCACCTACACAGAAAAAAAATCCCTCAATGTAATATAGTCAATAATAAGAAAAAAAACCTTCTTTTATATCAGGTCTCAATTAAAAAAATTGGTAAAGAGTTGTACCAAAAAGCAAATAAGGAAAACTGGGACAATAATAATAATAATGATAATAATAATAATAATAATAATAAAAAGGAACCTGCCAACTAATTGATATGACTTGCTCACAGGATTCCAATGTTTCAAAAAAAAAAAAAAAAGAATTTCAAAAACTGTCACATTAAAGGAAAGTACCAAAAAAATGTGGAAAATTAAAACTGCGATTATCCCCATTGTGATCGGGGCATTGGTTTATGATAAAGAAGGGTACCGAAAATCATGTGAGTAAAAATCCACCGGACACATCAGCATCTCAGAGCTACAAGAGATTACTTTGTGCGGAACTTCACATATCATCTGCAAAACCCCCTCCATCTAAACGAAACGTCCCAAATGTGCATAGATATCTCTCCTACTGTGCCCTTTTGACTGATAGACCCCAAAGGGGGATTTGGTAATTAGGCACTTAAAATTACTCTCTGGCAAGATGATACCACAAATAATAATAATAATATACTAATAGTATAACTTATATACTAATAGAATAATAATAGTATAATCTAATAATAGTATGTTAATAATAACAATAGTATAATAATTTAATAATATAATACTAATAATAACAATAATATGCTAATATTACAATAATAGATTACTTATAGTATAAACAATAATAAAAGTATAGTAATTATATAATAATAATGATAAATGAAAAATATTAATAGTATGGTAATAGTATAATAGTAGTTGTCTGCTAATAGTATGATAAAAAGCTATAAGTAATAATAACAATAATAATAGTTTACTTATAATAATAATAATAATAATAATAATAAAAATATGCTAATTATATACTAATAATAATATTTATAGTATGTTAATGTTATAGTAATATGCTACTAGTATAATAAAATGCTTTTAGTAATAATAATAATAGATTTCATAGTTTATGCTGCTAGTCTATACTAATTGTCATGCATAAGATTTTCAGTTTCTGAGAAAATGCCTTATATATGTTCTGTAAATATGTTTTGGTAATTTTACAGCTAAAAGCCGTCAAAATAAGTCATTATGGTTTGGAAAGTTTTTTGGACTATAGAACTTTTTCTCGGTGTTGCTTTTTTTTATTACCACGTCTTGGCTGATCCGTTCTACATTTGTACAGATTATACGCCTGTAGAAAGGAATGGCCAAAGAATGAGTTGTCTAGATAAACTCTTGGAGTATCAAAATATGCATTATAGCAATGACATTTTTCTTCCTAAGCAAGAAGAAATTCTTTATAATATTAAATTGGCCGAAAGAGAGATTGTTTTTTTTTTGTAGTTTCAGATATGGTTTTTATTTTATTTATTTTTTTTGACTTTATATATGTTTTTTATTTGTTTTTTTTTAATTTGAAATGTTTTTTTATTTGAATACGTTTTTAAATCATATATGGTTTTATTTTACATTTTTTTTTATTTATATTTTTTTATTTTAATATATTTTTTTTTTTTTTTAATTATGTTTTTTTTTTTATATGCGTTTTTAGTTCATTTTTTTTTTATTTTAAATGTGTTTTTCACTTATATGTTTTTTTTTTTTTTTTATATATTTTTTTTTTTTTTGTTTTTTCATTTCATATATTTTTTTAGTCAATATTTTTTTTATTGTGTTATTTTTCTTTTGTTATATGTTTTTTATTTTACATATATATTTTTTTTTAATTTACGTATGTTTTTTTCATTTACATGCGTTTTTAGTTCATATATGTTTTTTATTTTACATGTGTTTTTGACTTCATATATGTTTTTTATTTTACATATATATTTTTTTTTAATTTACGTATGTTTTTTTTTTTACATGTGCAATTTATTCAATATATGTTTTTATTTTGATGTTAATTTTTCATATTTTTAATTTTTATTTGTTTTTTTAATTCATGTTTTTTATTTTACACATATTTTTTTAATCCATATGTGCTATTTATTTCACGTGTTTTTTATTTTAATTCAGATGTGTTTTTTAATTCACATATAGACTTAGGAAGAGAATTTACTAGACATTTTTTTTCAAGTTGACTAATTTCAGAATTGTCATTTACTGGTTTAAATAGTCTTACTAAACACAGTCAAGATTTCCCCCTAAATGATTTTCTCTTTTTTTTATATAAAAGAAAAAAAATCTATATTATCTCTAACTTTGAGAAGTTTCAAATTTGATAATAAATTTTTATTTATTTTTTACTTATTTTTTATTACAGATTTAAAACCTAAACATCAGTATCTGTGTATATTTCTGAGATGAGGTATTATGTGCACTATTTACATTATTCAGACTATTGTCCTCATCTTTATCGCCATATTTATTACAACGTTTTGGCTGTTGTACACTTCGGCCTTCTTTAGGTGGTTGGAATGTTGAATTGAACCCTTTATTTCACTCACTGGGGTAGACTGTTCTAGTTCCACGTGCCATGTTTTAATGGATGTCAGTTATCAGTTATCTTCCATTCCTAAAATCTTCTGAAATTCAATTGTTTTAACCAGGTAAAATTGAACTCACATATTGGTCCTGTCACTGGATTTAACTAACGCTTTTATCCAGTGAGCCATGTGTCCTCAAGGATAAAAATATTAAAGGTTTAAGTAGATCCAAACCTGACAGACACAAAATAGTGTTTATTCAATTTCCTGGTTAAGGCAGTGGACAACTTTTGGAGAGTTCAACTACTACTGAGACCTCACCTGTGGATTATCAATCGGCAAAACATAGGATTCTTAATGATCCACAGGTGAAACTTCTGCAAGTTTGGATATTTAGAAATCATATTTTAGAATGAAAAAGTCTAAAATTATTTTGTATTTTCATTTTTAGATACTTTGATCATTTTTAAATTCATGTAACTGTTTTTCTTGAAATGGTATATATATATATATATATATATATATATATATATATATATATATATATATATATATATATATTTATTCTTTTTAGTCTTATTAATTAACATTCATTATTTAAAAATTTAATTTAAAATAATATTTAACAAAAGTTAAAAACAAAAATTTAAATATTTAGTAAGTGTTTTAGAAAATTATACCCACCATTTTATTAGTCTTGTTTCAAATAAAAAAAATTTAAACATTTCATCAGGTTGGAAATCAATTAAATCACTTTTTATTTATGTCATTTTCCACCTTATTAAAAATGTTAAAAAACATTTTTTAACATTGAAACCAGATGCACAGTTTTGTAGTGGGTATGTGTTTTTTTTTTAAAACTGCAAAATAAATAAATATTTTTTGACATACTTTTATAATTTTTTTTCTTTTTAAATTAATGTTTTGAAATGTAATGAAATCTTTCTTTCAATTTTTTTTGGATTATAATATATATATATATATATATATATATATATATATATATATATATGATTTGTAAAAAAATGCAAATAAAAGTGGCATGTGAAGTACTTATCATTTCAAAAACCATAACATGAAGAAAAAAATGCGCAGAATATCTTTAAAAAATGAAAATACAAAGTAATTTAAAGATTTAAATTTATGAGATAACAATATATATGTTTATATATCAAGAACAATATGGGGAAAAATTTATGACAAAGTGGAAAAAATTTTCTTGTGACATGTTTCATCCTTTAAGACTTCAACTAATGAG